GCGTCGTCATCATCGTCGTCGGTGCACATTGCTCATTTGCATTTTGTTAATTTTTCTCTCTCCCCGACCATTTAAATAATTAACTCGAAAAACACGTTTCCGATGAATAGCACCGAACCTTTTAACGTCGAACACGATATTGCGTTTAACAGGACCTTTAAAGCTTACTGCACGTCCAAAACATGTACTACACCGACCGCGTGCGTAGAAAAATTACGACCGAAAATCGTATTCGAGAAATACCATTTCATTTTGATCATAACACAAATGGACAGGTATTTTGTTTCAATACGGAACGTACACGACTACCGCAATTTATTTGTGTACCGTTGGCCTATTGTGTACCCGGTGAACACGTTTGTATTTTATAAGTACGGGTTTTCAACGCACGTGTACGCATTGATATCGAAATTTAAATCGAAAAAACTTTATTGGAACGCAATGAGTTGTACATCAAGGCACATGTAATTATTTTTTTAATAAATACGATTGTATCCTATGTAATGCTCCGATAAGCTCTCCAGTCCGTAATCCAACGGTTGATTTCGTAATATCTAATATTATCCACGCAGGATTTTCCATTTACCTTTTATTTAAAATATAATAATTCTTTGATTGATAATATCGATAATTTTCTACTTTCGACTAGGAAATATTTTACTACCGATAAGCCGTAAATGTTTTCGGTTTTTTTTTTTCAAATTTTTCGTCAATTTTTGCAATTTTTAAGAAAACAGTTGATTGAAAACAATTACCAAACTATCTGTAGATATAAACGGCCAAATCAACGTTTAATTATCGGTTAAAAGTTGACTGATTATCATTTGAAATTAATCACGCGTAATGTGTTATTTTACTTTTGACTGCTATGTTGAACACATCTTTAAAGTCAAAAGATTTTTTTTTTTCCATTTACACAATGGATCATTTAAATCAAGGTAAGTACTTAAAGTTAGACAATTTTAAAATTGTTAACAATATCATTCAAAATTCAGCAAAATTACGGTTAAACCATAGTTTTATTTTATTAAATAAAACACTATATCGTTATATATTAGTTATATATGGTATAGATATTATAATATATCCATTTGCACCAATTTTCTAATTAATTGATTACGTGATCTTTATTTTAGTTGGATGTAGTTGAGATGATGATACTTCTGAAATATCACATAAAAATGGACCTCTTTGACCAAAAAATGTCGAGTTAAAACAGATAACCCGTGGGAGCCGAGGAATATAGGTACAAAGATTTTACGATTTTTAGACAATATCATACAAGAGAAAAATATAAGGTCAACAACGATGAAGATCTTTTACATACGGTGTGCGTCTCATCTGCACCGGGCATGTCCAGTCTACGTAACGTGCCGAAAAAAATAAATACCTAATACTTCAATCCGATAAAGCTCAAAATCTGGTAAGTGTTGATTAAACAAAAAAATATAATTGTATTCTCTTAATATCTTTGGTTTTTCTAAAAAAAAAAATGTATTTGCCACTCTTGAAAACATGTGTTTGCGTATTAATTGTAAATATAAAATATAACGAGAGTTTATATTAGTTTAGACAAGTTAAAATCGCTTTTCAGACCATTGTGCGCTGGTCGCGTAACCGTACCGCTTGCGATCGAATATATTTTTGGTAATAAAAACCATCGAGCGGAAAGGTACTTTCGAAATGCGCCGTCGGTCGACACGAGGTTCCGGCCATTCGAGCAGCCGCTAAAATGCAAATGGACATGGATTCAATTAGATATTCGATCGCCCCGTGTCGTACACCGCAGCGGTCGGCTATCGGTGCCGTAAAAGGTTTTCAATCGTTAAATATTCCGTTTTCACGATCTTCGTAAACGTGTGAGTGGTGCATATTATTATCGTTCGGTTTTAATAATACTTCTCGAGCGGTGGCGATTTAACATTTTAATAAAAGACGAGGGAGTTACAACCGCACGGAGAAACTGCATACTTACTAAAGGGAGTAACGGTGTAGGGAGCGCCGTGCCCTGTTGGAATATTATTATCGAAGTGTTCGCGACTTACGTACGATAACGATAATTATTTCGATGATTGTTAATACAAAATTTAATTTTCAAAACGGTCTAACTACACATTTCGGAACCACTTGTCACAGAAAGCGCCTTGGTCAAATTTGTTGTTCAACAACGTTATAAGCTCGTCCTTTGGACGTCGGAGAAAACTTATATCCCCCCCCCCTTCCCGGGATCTACTTTATTTTTTCAACATTGTGCAGGGCAACACATTTCGGATTATTTACTGTCCGTTTGAAAATTTTGAAGAACCATCATCAAACTGTAGACTAAATCAGTAGGTATTTAAAGACATAAAATATATTGGAATTTCTGTGTCGGACGATCTTTTTTCTTTTCGTCGACAAGACGAAATATTATGTGGCTTAACTGTTGCCGCACTGATTTCGTCCCGGGGGGGGCGGGGGGGGGGGGGGGGGGGGGAGCGCGCGGGGGTTGGGGGCCGGGGGGGGGGGGGGGGGGGGGGAGGAGGCGATAAACGTGATCGTTTTCGATTGCATCCCGCGCGACCTATCCCCGTGTTCGTGTAGTCCGTGTGAACGAACAGTTATCCGTAACTCTTCACGAGCGCCGTTTTGCTCGTAGCGCTCAAGTGGATCGCCACCGACGGCGGCATGAACGCATTCCGATTACCGAGTACCGACTGCGATGCCCGTTTGGTTCGCGGGTAATTTTCGTTCGGTACCTACGGCCAACCTACACGTTCCGTGGATTTTCGAAACGAATAAATAAACGAAATCGTTTCGAGAGGGTTGTTTTGTTTGTTGTTATTACATTGTACACGCGAGCGCACGGCCAGACGTAACGATATTGTTGTTTCAGCCGATGGGTAGATTTCGCACAGTGCAAATCGTGTTACCCCTGCTAATTTACTGCTCGCGAATTATTGTTGTTGTACCGATGTTACGTAACACGGGCACATATAGGTATGTTTATGCGTATTTATTACGATTGCTATTATTATAATCGTGTACGTGCGCGTATTAATGCCCACCCGTAATAACATTGTGTTTTACGTGCGGGTGATGTCGTTTTTCAACGAGACAATATTTGACATTAATTATCGCAACGTTGTATAATTTTACCCGAAACGCGTCGGTAATTTTTCCCTTTAATATTCGACGCGGGTAACCCTATAAATTACATACGATATACCGACGCGCACGTGTCCAACGCGTTGCTATTATTATTTTTTATTCGACCCGAATCACCATGTTGCAAAACGATATCGGGACTCTTTGAATCGGATCCGTTTGTATTCGTTCGTTAACGCGCGTACGGTGGCGCTGGACGAAATCACGCGGACACACGGCGGAATTTTGTGACACACAATAACATAAAAAACCCGTTTACGATATGGTTTTTGATTCAGCGGTCCGGCGCACGCGGTGTATCAGTTATTATTTATTGATCTTTTAAAACATTGCAACTCTTCGAGTCATTTTGGTGAACTCTGTAATTTTAACACAAAAAAATCACACCGAAACGTGGTCGATTTGTGTCGTTTCAGCTAATCGAATAACATTTGAACAACTACACACTGGATATCCGCGTCCGCACGGAAAATTCGTAGTTCCCTTTCCGCCGGCACCCATAAAAGTAGTTTTGATAGTTTTTCGGAAAAACGTCGACACAATTCCACAGGATTCCTCTTCTTGAACCGTTCGACTTTATTTCGTTTCTTCTAATTTGATACGATTTACGATGATTTTACAACTGGAGATCTTAGCCGGTGTTCCTCGACCACTTCAGGTTCGCGTCATATTTTTCACAACAATACATATATGTATGGAATATTAGGAGAAAAATAAAAGTACCCTTACCTCATAGTAAATAAGTGTAGTGATATTCGACTTTGTTAACTATCGGGAATTGTACTGGTCCAGGGACGAATATAATAACTTCTACTGACACATAGCAGTGTTTATCTGATTTTAATATTTGCAAACTCGAAACATTCTAAATTTTAATGTACAAAAAAATCGATTATAATAGTACCTCGAAATTGTTTATGATTTTTATGATACATAAATCGTCATGAGTAATACATTTTTCACAAAAATAATAGTACACAGTTTTCGGATTCGTGATACTGATCGAATGTGGTCGCTTTTCATCTGTTTGTTATTACATATTAACATGTGCATGATCATAAAGACAATAACTTGACTTGAATCTATTAACTACAACAGGAAACTTGACCGTTTAATTACTTACGTACTAATGCATATTATTAATAAAATTATATGCTTTTACTTTTTTTTTTTTTTTTGTATATTGTTTCGTTTCGACGGGCCCTGTAGATTGTTTTCGACCCGTCAAAGAATAATTAAATGTTCAATATTTAAATTTTTAAGTGTTAATGAAATTCATTTTTGAAACGTTTTCGTTAATGTCATACGTTCGAGTTATTGAACCCATTTACATAATATTAAATGTCGTTAAATATAACGGCTGTTTACTTAACCGTAGCGTATTGATTTCGATTAAAACTGGATTTTCATAAATATTGTATTAAATTAATCTACTCTTAAAGACGAAACGAATCAAAGTACATAAACACATAACATAACGATAAACGACCCACGCCAATCAAAACATAAACGAATACTGTAGAAAGTTTTGATTTTAACTTGAGCAACGAAACTAATAGCTAATAATTTAAACTGTCTGGTTGTCTATGTGCTGTATACAACAATCATTCAACATATTATGTTATACAATATAATATATCTAATATACTAATAGAACAATTGTTATACATATTTCCGGGTAAAACATAACAACAATTGACGGATGTAATCATTCATTTATAATATATAACAATGTTTATAAATGTTTACTGGTGTAAAGGATAAACAAAGTTACATTTATACAGTGTGTCGGGAAAGTTCGGAAACTTTTCCGACACACTGCGTACATAAGGTGTAAGATAAAGAACCGAAAACTATGAAATATTCTCTACCGGATGAGCGGCATCATCTTTTTTTTGTTTTTCAATTTTCACATTTTTTTCCTCTGGTTCATCGAACATGTAATCTTCTTCACTGTGTGGCCAGAACGATGGTTTGTTCACCATGTCTATTGTTAACTCGGGAACCACATAAGCAGCGTCTTCATATGTCATTTGACCGAAGGGCAACAATTTATGAATTTCTTCGAGCCTTTTTTCCGCTTTTTTAATTATTTCCTCGGCTTCAACTCTGAACTGTTCGATTTCTTTCACGGTTTCTTCTTCATGACAATCAATAACCCCGGTATATTTGTCTTCGGGATATGGGATTTTAAGTGTCTCGTACAACTTTTCAAAGTTTTCGACCACGCCGGGTTGGGCACCTTTACTTTTGTACAGCGCCCAATCGATTTTCAAAGGCTCAACTGGCAAAGCCGACATTTTGCGAATGTATGCATCGGACTTGGACTTGAAGGCCACGTAGAACGCTTTGGGCACACGTTCAGCAATTGCGTCCCAGTTCACCATGGATTGAGCAAATCGTTTGACTGCCGCCATTTTGAGATGAAAATTGAACGCAAAGCTAGAAATAAAAGCGCACGAAAAACGTCAGGACGAGGCGAGATGGTTACCGCAATGTTACTGAATAAACATTGTATGTTCGAAATGTTATTAAGTTATTCCTATGACGATGTAAGGTTGTTTCGTGCGTAGAAAAATAAAAAACCGTAAATTCTAAAATAAACGTTCGGTTTCCATAATCATAAAAAAATATCACCGAAGCTTCTATATTCTTGAACCGACGATTCGCGTATAATGAAATGTAAATGTACACAGGACTCGAACGCCCATACAATATTGGTTTGCCGGATGACAAAAATTCAAAAATAAACTGGTTGAAAAATGCCATTGTTGTTCGCCATTTGAATTCCAAAAAACCGGGTTAAAACGACGGAATGTAGTTATAGTTGTTACGGTATTTTTTTCATTGCTGGCGCAAACCGACGATGAGGTATACGCTTCGGTGTTGTTAACGCGCAGTGACGGTGCTAGAGTTTGTGAGGCCCTGGGCAAAATAAATGTTGAATCTTATAATATCTATTAATAAAATATTTAAGTTCAGTTAAATCAGAACCGCGGGGCCTTAGTTATAATTTAAGGCGCGGGGCCCTGGGCAACTGCCCCTATTGCCCTCCCCTCACGCCGTCCCTGTTAACGCGTATACTTCGTAAGCAATCCTCGATCGTCTCGTTGTCTGGTGGACACACACAGGACCGTGTTGAGCGAAAGCCGCACCACAGTAATGCGAGGAACACTCGCGAACCGTATATGAATTCTAATGATTTTCGTGCATTTCTCCGTGACTCTCATACGACCATCAATTAATCATTATTAGTGTTTGGCACTTGTGCATATTTTAATAAATATTTTTTTTTACTTTTTATACATTAAAATATGAATCCACGAATGTAAGGTTTAAGTTCAATTTTAATAAACTAATGAAAAATTGTATTATTGGATAGGAAAAAAAGAAAATACAAAACTGACATAAGTGCATACACGTCATCAACATAGAACCGCAAGACGCTTGAGAAAACTAAAAAATATTCAGCAAAAAAATCAAAACTATCCAAAATCCGTTCTTGTTGCACGCCTATATTATATAATACAAACAAATCTTGAAATGTTCAAGTCGCTAGCTATCATAGGCTATGCGTTGATCATGAACCGGCCAGTAAGGACGTCTTCTTTTATACATACAGATAATACTACAAAATGACAAAGACCGTTAACGGTGACGAATTAACGACGAAAGGTTGAAACAATTACGACGTAATTAACCGACAATAACTTACTGAATTGCTTGTACCGCCTCTCGAGAATCGTGATCACTATATGCCCACGGACCGATGGTGACCGGAGATTTTCGCGTGGTGCTCACGAGTTGGAGACGATATCGTGTTCTGGGCGCCATAACTCTCTTACGACCCGAAAGGATCAGATCGTCACGTGTACTGCCGTACCGATATAATGACCTTGGTATATAGTAGCGATTCTCAACCGGAAGGGTTACTAACAATTTTTTTAGGGTCGTATCATGTGAAAAAAAAAATTATTTCAATTTAACATCAGCAAAAGAATCGTTAAATTAAATTAAAAAAAAAATATGAAAATTTACATCGTTTTTCCGTTTATATTTTTTCTACTGATCAACGCCAATCGGCTTTTATGGTTTACTTTTTTTCGTAAAATTTATTCGCGAATAAATGCAACAGTAACAGTTTGCAAAAATGTTCAACGCTCACATTGCAAAAGGATCGTTAGACATAATGATGACATTATAGGGGGTCGCGAAAAGGTTGAGAACCGCTGGTGCATTGAACGTTTGAGACGATAGGAGTGAAATAAGGACCAACGGGGGACGGAACATTATTGTCAACGCGCTTTGCGAAAAAGGTTCCGAAATACGTTACGCTGCGATGCGCGCATACGCACTCGTGTAAGGAACAGGAAACGTCACTCCGCCTGCTCGTGTCCACGGTCGTCGGAGATGAGAAAAAAAAAAAAAAAATTCGTGTGATATGATCGGCGGTCGCCGAGCGTTCGCTCGTCACATTCAGATACGTCTGAAGCGGATTTCGAAAACCGACCGACTTAACGAAACGTATTTTTTCGACGTATTCATTCCGTGCGCAACGCGCGTTCCACACGATCATAATATGATCGTAACTGATATTATCAGTGATATCAGTTATTTGCGCGCGTTCGGGGACCGATCGAATCATTGTGCACTCCGCTGCTGGGCCACCGTCGACGACGACACGCACGCACGCGCGCACAACCGGAATGCCAGAGATAATCCGACGGATAATTATATCGTCAGCGGTGGCTGCACAAAACGAACCGTTTCCGGTCGGTATTTCGACGTGAAGTAAACGCAACGTAAACGGTCGCGCGGTTACCATTGTGAACGGTCCGATACCGTAAACCATTACCGGTATCGTTACCGTCGCGCTCGCGAACCGGTGACCGCGTGTTACGGTTGCGCGGACGCGTAACGCAAAGGCAGAGAAACGTTAAATTTTCGCGCCATTTCGGAACGTCAACTATCGGACAGGGACGGTTCTAGGACTAGATTTTCGTACGGGCAAACAATATATTTTATGTTTCAAGTTACGTCCCGTTTCACGTAGGCGCGTATCGTACGCGAGTAACATAAATTGTTGTTTATTTTGTTTTCGTAGGTAAATTTGTAAATTGTAACTCTGTAAATAATAAGTATTAAATATCTTTTGTTTTCACAGAGAAACCAAATGTTGCTATTATCCGATAAAAAATTTATAACTTCCTTATGTACACTTATAAGTAAGCTGTAAGCTAAATTTAAATCCTAAATTTTCCTAAGCTACAGTTTTTTCCTTAACAGTTAACACACATAAAAAATAAAAATATTAATTCAAATTAGATATATATATATATATATATATATATATAAATATATTTTTTCTTTTTTCTTTAGGTATATAAAAAATAATTTAACATATTATAATAATAAAGTATAATATAAACTATATTTTTACTATATCTGAAATTGTAATCTTCTATGTTTTATTTTTGCAAACATATCAAGAACAAGAGTTGGGTCTTTTAACAATTTTTCCGAATTCTCTTTATCTATAGATAATAAAGCAAGGTTACTCAACCTAGGATTTTGCATTGTAGCTCTCAAGTAAGTTTTAATACGCCGCATAGTAGAAAAACTTCGTTCAGCACTAGTTGAGGATACAGGAATTACCATAGATAATTCAACTACTTTTCTCAAGTTAGTGAAAGCTTCGCCATAATTACTTATTTGTTGATGTACATCAGACAATGTTGAAGCTTCCAAAAACAAAGATTTCCCAATTAAACACTGATTAACCAATTAAACACTTTTTTATTTATGAAAGTGTAAATAATAAAAACAAATATGTATTTGAATTCCTTAATTATTTACTTATTTAAACATCACAGTGAACCTTTTAAGGTGAACGTAAAAATTTTGGTACGGGCAGCTGCCCACCCTGCCCGTACGCTAGAACCGCCACTGCTATCGGATTTTGTAAACGCATTACGATTCAAGATCATTTCAATTCGTCATGTCTTAACTCGTGGTACGCGTTGACGGACGAAAAGCGTATTCACCCGAAAACTCGTGCCTTAAGTATCAACTTATCAAAAACCACCATCTGCGAAAACAGACAAATACAGTGGCGTAGCCTAGGGGGGGGGACTAGGGCCCCCCTCCCATGGGCCGTGTTTATATGTACAGTGTATCTTGACTATTTAGTAGAATCAATGGATGCTCGTTTTAATCAAAGGCTCATCGATGTTATGCCACTTGAAGGACTTATTCCGGCCAATTTAAATATGTATGACGATGAAAATATTATAAAAGCTGCTAAAATATATGCTCAAGATCTTCATGATGATACTTCATCTACAATCAGAGCTGACCTGTTTATATAGACGCAACAATGGAGTCAAAATACTATTCCAAAACAGAATTCTGCTCTTGATTCACTCTCTCATCGCACCAATCTTCAACCTAACATTAAAATACTTTTACAATTATTCGCCACGTTACCAATTACCTCATTCACTCCGGAAAGAATATTTTCTGCACCTTATCGCTTAAAAAAATTTTTAAGAAGCACCATGCCGGAAAACAGACTGAATGGGTTAGTTATGGTTAATATAAATAAAAAAGAGCAATTCGATGAAAGTGAAATAATAACTGAATTTGCCAGAAATTCGCCTAAGAGGATGCAACTGTCCGAGTGGAGCAAGTGACTGACCACTGAAACCAAAATTATTATTACCTATTATAATAAATTATATATCATTAAATATTTTTAAAACTATACTAAAATGCTTGAATTACATTTAAAAACTCGGTGGTAGATGGTGGGGGGGGGGTAAAGGGTGAATTCTCATATCCTCTCTTACCTTACTTATCTAAAAAAGTGATTAGCTCCTCCCATTTACAAATCCTGGCTACGCCACTGGACAAATATTCGCGCAATAAGATTTTCTGTGCGAACAATCCCGATGTTGCGGATGTCACTTTGTACTCGTCACGTTCTGCGAGCCCGTAAACGATGGACGCACTATTTCAGGTAAAAATAATTTTCAAACACTGTTTTTACTAACCCGCGTCCAGACTAGACGACCGATGGTAATGAAGGCACGTGTGAGACAACATTGTTCGGTGGTGTTGGCCTTTACGTGGACAGCGCGACAGAACGTGAACGGCGAATGTGGCACCGGTCTCCTTCCATCGGAGAGCGGTACGTCAAAGGAATTTGTCATCCGTTTGGACGCGATTCGTTTATATTTTTAGTCTTCGTCCTAACGGATGTATAAAATAAATTGTGAGCGTTTGCAGCTTAAACCAGCGAAGGCTTCCAAAGGCGGACTAACGACGAGTTCGGAACGGATTTGGACAACATGCCAAATGTTCTCACGTCTGAACACAGCCGAATGTGGTTGGTTACGTTGGCGTCCGGTTGTTTTGA